ACAAAACGATTTGAAGAGTGCATACATTACAGATTTAGGACCTTCGATAACAACTAATATTGCATTAAATTCAAAATCAGATGGAGTATTTGGAATATTACCATATATTGCACCTGAAATTTTGAACAAACAACCATACACTACAAAATCTGATATTTATTCATTTGGCATAATTATGTGGGAAATTTTATATGGTAAACCGGTTCCTTTTGAACAGAAATCAAAATTACAATATCAATCACAAGTATGTGATGGTTTACGACCTCATATTTATGAAAATACAGCGATATGCTATGCTGATATGATGAAGAAATGTTGGAACATGGAACCAGAAAAACGACCAACAGCAAAAGAAATTTGTGATATTTTTGAAGAATGGCAGACTAATGAAATTATTTTATCAGAATTATTGGAATCTGATAAAAAATTACAAAATATAAAGAATGATGACATACAAGTATATATTGATTCATATCATAAAAGTAGCTTTATTTCATTTAAATATCAAGGTATCTATAAATTTTAGCTTTTTAAAAATAATTATACATCATTAACATATTCTATATAGTATTATAACATTGATTAATAATATTTTTTTTTTTCTGTAGATAGCGAGTTATATGAATTGGAAGTGTCGGATATTACTAATTAATAAAAGCAACACTTCCATTAGAACTGAAAATATGGCAGTAGAAATCATTTTATTAATTAAACTGGACCAATGTAATAATGTGTTATACAACTTTATAAACTAAAAGTTTGAATTTTTTCAATTCTCAATGTGCTTCCAGTTTTAATTGAACCCCTAATTAGGTTTTGTGTTAGTGATATGTCATTTATTCTGCAATTTTTGTAAGAATCATCGGCCTATGAAGTTAATATATTGCATACTAGATATTCGATTTAATTGTTTAGTTTTGTAATATGCTAAATTTAGATTTGTCCATCGCAAATTTTTATCTGTTTTATATTGCATTTACTGAATTTCTCACATTTACAAGAGTCATTGTTCCTTCTGTTTTATAAGTGATTAACGTATTTTTAACTTATATTTTAAATATACTTTTACTTTATGGTTACACTAAAATTCTCTAAAAAATAAACATTAAAAAACTATAATTCATATTCGTACTCGATAATCATTCAGTTTGTTTTATGCAAAAAATATACGGTTATAAAATTTTATTATATGTGATCATATAGATGTATTTTTTATAAATTTATTAATGAATTTTTCAAAATTTAGGGCGATTATTGAGGAGTATGACTGTTTTAGAAACACTTTGTATTATTAGCTCTGGTAAATTGAATAAGACAGCAAATTATATGAATTGGAAGTGCCAGATATTATTAATTAATAAAAGCACCTCTATTTGAACTGAAAAATATGGCAGAAGAAATTATTTTTATTAATTAAACTGGATTTGAATACAATGATATAGTACAACGTGAAAAGCTAAAAGTTTGAATTTTCAATTCAACAACGCGCTTCCATATTTGAAATGGACCCCTAATTAGATTTTTATGTTAGAGATGTATCTATGCTAAATTTAAATTTGTCCATCACTGGTACATCAAAGGATTTCTCACGTTTATAAGAGTTATTGCTCATACTTATTATTATGAGTTTTCATTATTAAAATTAGTGATTAATGTATTTTTAACTTTATGATATAAATATACTTTATATAATTCTCTAAGAAAAAATAACCATTAATGAGCTATAATTCATATTCGTACTCCTCTATAATCATTCAGTTCGTTTTATGCAAAAAATATAAAAATTGATTATATGTGCTTATATAGAATTTTTTTTTCAAAATTTAGGGTGATCATTGAGGAGTATGACTGTACATATCAGACAGTTTTTATTATAAATCCGGTAAATTGAATAATCATACATATATAGAAAAAGTAAATAAACAATAGGACAGCCAGTTGATTTTTTTTTTTTGTACTTGAATAATTCTCGATGACACAAAATTCAACATATTTCAATTTGATTACATAGTTCATAACGTCATTTTCTTTTAATAAATCTGATAACAAAACAATACTTGCTATTGAAGTAGGTAGAGTGATCAGCCGTATATTTTTTTGACCACGTCCGATAGATGCGAAATCATTTTTACGGGTCGAGCCTGATGAAGTGAACGAACGTTGTTAATTATTTTCCTTTCTTTCTTTCGTATTGACACGGCATTTTAAAATTAAGGTTGATTTCCATTTTGACTTTAGTGTTTTTAAAGTTAACTTAAGTACTAGGTTCCAAATTTTTAAGATTGTATTAATACTGTAATACAATAATATAACAAAGAATAATAAAAAACATAAAGCGCCTTTAAGAACCAAAATTAAATCGAAAAATCATAAGTCTATGCCTTGGTCTTTACTTTTTGACAAGTAAAATTTGGCGATTCTCAAAATTGATACTTATTATAGATTCAGGTATATTTAGCACAAAAATATTGATGCAAAAAGCTTGTTTACATGAATAATAAACATTTAATACCAATTAAAATTTTTTGACATAATAATTATGATTCCTTTACTTTATTGAAAACATTTTCCGCTAACGCTAGTTAAAATTAGGGATAGGAACTGTTTAACCGTTATAAAATTGCTCTATAGTTCCGGGCAGAATTATGTTGGTCGTGGGCCAGAATTATTTTAATGCCGGCCAAACTAAACGGCTAAACGGTTAAACGATTAAACGATTAAGAAAAATTTTAGGCAGTTCCAATCCCTAGTTAAAATTTAATATGTAAAAATAAGGCGAAAATCGCATTTTGGTTAAAAAAAAAAATAAAAAAATAAAAAAAATCTTGAAAACGCCTAAGTTGGCTATTAAATCACTACGGCAGGTAGTAGTAGGGCGTAAATAAATGGGTCAACCGGTTAACATCTTAATTGGCAAGGTATTTCAAATTATATTTGTACAAATCCAAACTGTGCATGAGTTTTTTTTTTTTTACATTTGAAAAAAGATTCATTTCATTTATTTATTTATTTGGTACGTATATATATATGTACCGTATGTTAAAAACTGACAACTTCGGATGTGTCATAACACAGCAATACAATATTGTGTTAAATTCACATGAAAAGCAACTCAATCAGATTCACGGATTCGGATACACCCTTTCATTTGTCATTAAACCATACTCTACGGACTTTGTATTCCGTTCCTGGTACGGGGAATCATTTCCATAATCGTGGAAATCATTCTCCTGCATCACTAGTGATAATGACGAGAATTTATTTGATGTTTATATTATAATTCTTCTCTTTGACGTATTAAAACAAGATTTTGTTATTTATAAGAAATTCACGTTCCAACTTATGGCTGCCAAATGATAGACAACCTTTATATTGCAGGAAATCTAAAGTCCTCAATCACTTTATATGGAGCAAAGGTAAACTAACACATGAGGGATAACCTAAAGATGTCATTTTCGGTTGCGGCTTTATCTTAGTATGCATAGAATAATTACTTATCATTCTTGGTATGTTATTTCTATGCAAAAAGGCTGAGAATTCTTGATCTTTCATTCTATTGAGATTGATAATTTAAGAAATTATCTTCATTTATGCATATCTCTATACAAAGAGATTGAGGTTTTTAAATTTCCCACACCGTACGTACGTATGTCGTACAATTATCCCAACTTATTTATTAGGTATTTAACAATGAAATGTGGGCGTTCGATACTTTACAATTTGTTTTTTGTAATACAGCATTTGACTAATTCGACTGTTAACTTTATTTAAGAGCAATTTTATGTAAGGGCCGTTACGCTGTAATAAGCTTTAACCTACCCGATTTGTTGATCCGGGTCAAAATTTCTAACCCCGGATCACTATTTTCTGACCCGGGTAATATCCCTACATTGTCCCAATTTGTGACCCAAACATTATAGTTTGATCCAATATGTTGAACTAGCAGGTTTATCACATTTGTTAACACTTCATGAAACCATAATTATTATGTAAAACTAGTTTTACAAGTTACATAAGTTACGTATTAATCAAATTACCATCACGTATAAAAGAATCTTTAATTTTTAACTGATCAATATTCTTGCTAATTGGCCGAAATAATTAATAAAGTTAGTTAGCTAGTTTAATAATCCTTTATACAAAATTTTTGATGTAACTAGTTAAGACAAGAGATGTACGGATGCAAGTTTTTTTTTGGCTTTGCATTACATAATGAACATCATGTTGCATGATACATTATGCAATTCTGTATAATTTACTGTGGAACTCTAAAACCTATATACAGTGAACAGACTTTATATTATTACTGAGAGGTTATTGGATTTGAAAACATAAAATATTAGATTTATATAGTGGAAACAGACCTGATAGATTAGTTTTTTATTGAATTTCACAGGCTATGAATTTGATAGGAACAAGTATCTATAAAGTGATGTTGATGAATACGTGGATCAAAATTACATAATAACTTAGGCAACATACATCTGCATGCAACATCGCCTCATAATGCATACGGCACATCTCTAGTTAAAACCAGTTCACAATGATATGGCCGTTTTAAACCAGTTGTACAAGTAATATGAGGGAAAATTCAGCATGCATTATGTCGTCATGCATAATTCGCATACTCATGTCTAGGAATAACAAGTCAGGGACATGGAAAAAGTCGATTTTATTTATAGGAATTTCAAATTCTATAAATAAAATAGCACTTTTTCCGTGTCCCTATAACAACTATACGGAATAATCGGACAATTCATTCCATATTTAATATCGAATAAAAACTTATATCAATTTTTGGCCGTCTCATTTTTTTTTTTTTAGGCTCAAGATTTATTAAATGATAGATAGTTTCATAAGAATCATTATTTTTGAAATTGTACGCGATTAATAATTTAGAAAAAAGAAAGTGAAAAAATACAATTCGTCAAAGCATATTGATTATATTGCTGTACCCATAATTCATAATATTTATCGACATTATTTTTCTATACAAAAGCATGACAAATGAACAATACATTGTTAATATTAATGATATTATTAATGGTGTTGATAATAAACATGAAGATGAAATTACTCTCGGAATTAGCTATTTTAATTTAGGTCTCTATGATGATTCTTTTGCGCAATTTGACTGTATTTTGGAAAATACTCCAAGTAACTTATCTGCATTAATCCTTCGTGGAAGAACTTATTTAAAACTAGGAATATTTGATAATGCCCTTTCAGATTCAAATACGTTATTAAAAATTGTTCCAGCAAATACAGAAGCATTTATTCTCCGTGGAGAGACCTATTTTAAGTTAGGTCAATATAATAAGGCTCTTATAGATTTCAGTAAAGCACTAGAAATTAATCCGAATCATTCGTATGCTTTGGTACTTCGTAGACAAGTTTATGAGAACATTCAAAATAATAACGAAGATTTCCCAGATTATAACAAATCATCAGAAATCAAACAGAATAATACAGATGTGTTATTCCATTCCAAAGAAACTAGAAAAATGATAAAAACACTGTTGTTTCATGGGGAACATACTATTCATTAGAGCAATACGATAAGTCTCTATCAAATTTTTGTAGAGTGCTAGAAATTGATCCATATAATTCTGTCGCATTATCTATTTGCGGCATGTTTTATTACCTGTTAAATCAATATTATAAAGCGTTTTTAAATTTTAATAAAGCATTATGCGTCAATTCATTTGATATTACTGCATTATTTTATCGGGGCAAAGCTTATTTTGAGCTTGGCCATTATAATAAAGCTTTTATGGATATTAAAAAAGTATTAGAACAGTATAATAGATCTGAAAACTTATTAGAAATTCAATCGAATCACGTTGATGCACTGATCCTTCATGCAAAAATATGTTTTAATTTAGAAGAATACGAAAACGCAATAATCTATTTGAGCGAGGCTTTAAAACTTCAACCAAAAAACTCAACTATATTAACTCTTCGTGGAGGTGTTTACTTTTACCTAGATCAGTATAATAATTCTCTTAAAGATTTAAATGAAATTTTAGAAATGGATCAGTATAAGGCTACTACAATTTTTCTGCGAGGAGAATCCTACTTCCATCTTGGTTGCTACCACAAAGCATTTTTGGATTTTAATGAGGCATTAAATATTGAACCAAATAATGTAGACATGCTAATTCTTCGTGGAGAAGCTTATATAAAATTAAAACATTACTGTAAAGCACTCCAAAATTTAGGCAAAATATTAGAAATTGAACCAAAAAATGTGATAGCGTTAGGTCTTCTGGGTAAATGTTATTTTAAATTGGGATTCTTTGAAGATGCATTACCGTATTTAAGCGAAGCATTAGATATAGATCCGTATAACTCAACGGCACTATCTTATCGTGGAAAAGTCCATCTTAAACTAGAAGAATACGATAAGGTTCTTTCTGATTCAAATAATGAATTAAATATCAATCCTGATTTAGTAGCCACTTTAATTCTTCGCGGAAAAGCTTATTACGGTCTAAGAAAATATAATCAAGCTTTTGAAGAATTTAGCAAAGCAATAGAATTTGAACCGAATAACTCAACTGCACTAAAGTATCTTATAAGTGCTTATAATGAACTTGACTTTGAAGCAATGAAATATGCCGTAATTGATAACTCGGAAATAATTAAACTTAATGATGTAATTGCATACATGCTTTGTGGAGAAGGTCATTTTTTGCGCGGACAATTTATGTGGGCACTTAAGAATTTTAAAAAAGCATTGGAGATTCAGCCAAATAATACAATTGCACTAATATTTTATGGAAAAATCTGTATTACTCAAGGAGGACTTGAAAATGCCCTCAAATTTTTGAATAAAGCATTAAAAATTGAACCGAATAATTCAATTGCATTATTTTATCAAAGAGAGACCAATTGTAAACTAAATCGACACGAAAAAGATCATCAAAACTCAGTAAATATATTAGAAATTGAATTAAATAGCTCATTCATGAAATTAGGTAAAACTAGTGCTAAATTTAAACTTGATCAATATAATAAAGTTATCATAGACCTTAGTAAAACGTTAAAAACTGAATCAAATGATATACATAAGTTGATTCTCCGTGGAAAAGCATATCATGCTCTTAAAAATTATGAAGAAGCGCTTGGAAACTTTCTCAAAGCATTAGAACTCGAACCAAATAATACAAGCATAATGCTTTATGTTAAAGAAACTTATATGTTATTAGAATATAAAAATCGTACAAACGGAACTAGAAATGATAAATTTAAAGCCTTCTTTAATTATTTAAAATGATATGGAAAATCCAGATATGGTTTATTTTCTTGGAAATTGCTACCTTCATGGAACTGGAATTGAAAAGTGCGAATTCATGGCATTCAATTGTTATCAAAAATCTGCTAATATGGGCATGTTGACGGAACATTTAATGTTGGCTATTGTTATCATTATGGAATTGGGGTTAAAAAGGATGAGCATAAGGCATTTATTTATTATCAAAAATCTGCAGAGATGGGAATGCTGATGGAACATTTAATGTTGGAACTTTTTATGAAAAAGGAATTGGAGTTGAAAAGGATGAACATAAATAAGGCATTTATCTATTATCAAAAATCCGCAGAGATGTGTTATCACAATGGAATTTGAGTTGAAAAGGATGAGCAATAATGCATTTATTTATTATCAAAAATCTGCAGAGATGGGTGACGTTTGTGGAACACATAATGTTGGATGTTGTTATCAGAATGGATTTGGAGTTGAAAAGGATGAACATAAGGCATTCATTTATTACCAAAAATCTGCAGAGATGGGTAATGCTAGTGGAACATTTAATGTTGGATATTGTTATCAAAATGGAATTGGAGTTGAAAAGGATGACCATAAGGCATTCATTTATTTTCAAAAATCTGCAGAGATGGGTTACGCCAGTGGAGCATGTAATGTCGGATATTGTTATCGAAATGGAATTGGCGTTGAAAAGGATCAACATAAGGCATTCATTTATTATCAAAAATCTGCAGAGATGAGTAATGCTGGAGGAGCAATGGATGTTGGATCTTGTTATAGTTCAGGAATTGGAGTTGAAAAGGATGAACATAAGGCATTCATTTATTATCAGAAATCTGCAGAGATGGGTGACGCTGGTGGAATGTTGTCAGTTGCAGATTGTTACAGAAATGGAATTGGAATAACAAGAGATTTACTTAAAGCTAATTACTGGTACCAAAGGTAAATTTTTAATTTGAATTTAATTTTGTGCAAGTGTATTGTGACGCATCACAATCAAATAATATATTATCATGTGTAATTAAAATAAAAAAATTTAGTCGTGTTAAAATTTTTAAAAAATGATTTTATAAGTAATTACACCTGATCTTGATGTTTGATTGATAGGTCTATGGTCATGCTACGTTGCTAGGATACTAACTATATTATTTATATACATATACTGTATTTTTTTAACAAATTCATATGTTTAAAATATTTAAATCGCCGATTAGGGAAAAAGATTTAATATCTGGTATTATCATGATTAGGAATTATAAATTATATTGTTATTGATTGATTTATAATCTAAATCTGGCAAAATTTATAAATAAATGATAGCTACAAATGAATGGATGCATAATTCTGAAATTGTAGATAATTTGAAAAAATATTAATGGAAAATAAATATCAGTTATCTTGGATTTCTTACGATGAATTTGAAGATATTGAAGAGATAGGTAAAGGCGGATTTGCAACTGTATATCGTGCTAAATGGTGTAATAAAATTAATGATGTATATATACCTGTGGCGCTTAAGTTGCTCCATGAATCTAATAAATATAACGAAGAATTTATAATAGAGGTAATATTTTTATTAATTGCCGTATATTTTTCATGATTTCTCATTTATGCTAATAAATTGATATTTAAATCTTTTTAATGATTAGTTAAAAGCATACTGTGATATCGGGCTTAAAGATTTATCATTTTTAAAATGTTTCGGTATATCAAAAGATAAAGCTTCTGGAAATTATATTATTGTCTTGAGATACGCTTCAAAGGGTTGTTTACGCAAGAATCTACATGTATAGCACAAATGGATTGGAATGATAAATTAAATCTGCTACAATGTATTGCATCAGATCTTCAAATAATTCATTCTCATGATCTTATTCATCGGGATTTACATAGTGGAAATATACTACAAAACGACTTGAAGAGTGCATATATCGCAGATTTAGGACTTTCAATAACAACTAATATTGCATTAAAATCAAACTCTGATGGAATTTATGGAATTTTACCTTACATTGCTCCTGAAATTCTTAACAGGCAACCATATACTGCAAAATCCGATATTTATTCATTTGGCATAATCATGTGGGAAATTTTATATGGGAAACCTGTTTCTTTTGAGCAAAAATCAAAATTACAATTTCTAATACAAGTAAGCAATGCAATGGGTTACGACCACATATTTATGAAAATACAGCAATATGCTATGCTGATTTAATGAAGAAATGTTGGGACATAGAATCCGAAAAACGGCCATCAGCAAAAGAAATTAGTGATATTTTTGAAGAATGGCATAATAGTGAAATTATTTTATCAGAATTATATGAATCTGATAAAACACTGCAAAATGTAATAAATGATGATATGCAAATATATATTGATTCACATAATAAAGATATACAGAAATATAATGATTCACATTATAAAAGTAGCTTTATTTCATTTAACCATCAAGGTATCTATCAATTTTTTAATATTGCAATATTCTATATTATAGCTTTATTTAATCTTTTTTTTTTATAGATAGCAAATTTTCTTAATTGGAAATGTCGGATATTATTAATGATTGGGACCGCTTAGAATCTTCTTAATCGTTTAATCGTTTAACTGTATTAACCGTTTAATTCAGCCGGCATTAAAAGGTCCTGACCTATGATCAACATATTTGGCTCGGCATTATAAATTTTTTTTTATACGGTTAAACGGTTCCAATGCCTAGATATTATTGAGCAATAAAAACTGCCTTCATAATTTTGGAACTGAAAATACGGCAGAGGAATTTATGCTTAATGATTAAATTTGAGCTTAATGTAATAGATTTATATAGGGATCATACATATAATATTCAAACCTGATTGACTAAGAATTTGAATTTTTCAATTCTTTAACGTACATTTTATATTTGATTAGTTCACAAATTTGTCTTTTGTGATAGAGAAGTCAATTTATTCCGTAATTTTTGTATGAGTAGTGTTTCCGCTAATGGATCGATAATTCACGTCATATTTATCATATTTATCAGTTATAGGGTTGGCATTTCGTATACCGATTTCGTTTTATTCCAGATAAGTAATGGACGATATTAAGACGATATCTGATCTATGATCATATCTACATCTCATGTTATAGTAATCCTAATAAATTTCGGAGAATTAATTTGGCAATAAAATATTACCTTCTTTCAATAGCTTTTTTACAACGAGCTCTTTGCTGTTTTTTACTATATAAGTAACTAAACCATGTTTCACATTCTGAGTTAATGAAAATACTAGTAAATTAATGTAATCAAGCTTATCTAAGATAACTTTTTCATGACCAGTAAGGGGAGGTCCAGAAAACACGTGTTTTTTATTTTGACAAAATTACGCCCTCCCCCTAGGTTTCTTATCTTCTCTATTTATCTACAGTATATATAAACGTGTTTTTTTGAAAAGTCCCCTTCCCCAAAAGAAACCACATCTTTCTGGCCCTCCCCTAACACAAACAATATCAAATATTAATTCTGTTAAAATCTTGTTAGTAATTTTGAGACCTTTTTTTTACCAATTCATCTATTCTTTAAACTTTTCAAAAAAAAAAAAAAACTATATAATAAGTTAATTTTAGGTTTTACATGAAATCTGAAGTTGACAATTTTCTAATTAGTTTCTATCTAATTCATCGAATATCCAATGCTAGTTAGGTTTAAAAAAAAGAAGAGGAAATGAAAAGATAGAATAATTTAAAAGTTAAATTCACATGGACTAATTTGTTTACATAATGAAAGAGAAAGTATAAAAGTATTATTCATTATAGGTATTCATCATGTTTTGTCATTTGTCACTTTGTCGATAAAAATTGCTTGGTAAATATTTTATCATCCATCAAGCTCTCACTGTAAATGAAGATTGATCTAATCAATTAATAAATAAGATACATCATGTAAAAATAAATATAAATTTTAAAATAATTTGCTGCATTTTTTACACCATTTACATCAACTATTGATTCGGTATTACAAATAGTTGTGTTGTATAATTTAGCAAAGTAGTAGAGTATAATGCAAAAAAAGCATTTGAGTATAAAAAGTTAGTATAGTATACTCAGAATATATATATATATATATAATAGTATAGTGGTAAATAATTTAATGTACAAAAATTTTACAGAAATTTATTATTATATATAATAAAAATACCTTGTAAAAACCTTTATTTTGTGAGAACAGTACATGCAAACCTATAAAAATCTTGATTTTGTTAAAATTCATCCATTAACTTTTTACAGTAAAAAATTTATAAATTTTACATATATATCTAATTAGTGTTAACTTTAACAAGAATAATTGCTTTTTTTAATTTGCATGTTTTAGTAAGATAAAAAGAAGGGTTTTGGGTCACCTTTTCTATGCCTCCATATGACTTATTGTTAAAAACTGGTTTACACCTCATTCTGTTATATTTTGTATCATTTTTATATACTATATCTTGGTGTAAATTTTTATATAGCTAGA